CGAGCAAAGCATCGGGAGGGCGCCGGCAGTTGCCGCGCACTTGAGCTGGTCGGACAGGCTGAAGGTGATGGTGCACTTGGACCACCTGAGCGGACGTGTGGCCTCGAGCCTGGGGAGGGCCGCGTTCACGTCGCGAGCGAACTACTTGAAGATGCGCTGAGAGTCTGGGGCCTGAGCGACGCCCAAGATGCAGGCGATGGCATGTGGCTCCTAGAAGCCCCCAGCCACCTTGTCCTGGTGGTGGTCATCATTCCTTCTTGGTGGCGGTGGCAGCGGAGGGGGGCCGGCATTGCCCTGAGGACAGTCCTCATGAGGCTGATCTCTCCAAGCGCCCTCGTGAGGCTGGCCCTACCAGCGGTCCTCACGAGGTTGATCTCGCCCCTCCTGACGGAGGTTGCAGTCATCCCAGCGTCCTCCACTTCAACCTCCTCCGCGGGCCTCGATCGTTGTGCTTGGGGCATCGACCGAGGCGCCCGTCGTGTATGGCCCTGAGCTCCTGACAGTCATTGGTGTTGTGGTTGTGTACGTTGTGGAAGACACTGAACGGACGGCTCCCTTGGATGACTTTGGGTGGTCGCAGCCGCGCTTCATCTCTGGTTCAGCCGCGAGCACGGCCACCCCCTTGCGCTTCACGTACTTGGCCTTGGCCTTCTTGTCTTCTGGGTCGGCCGCTGGGAGCTCGAGGAGGGAGAGGCGCCCTTCCTCAGCTCTCGCGCACTTGATTGCCATGTTAAACATCTCCAGAGACGTGCACATGTCCTCATGGATGGCGAGCTCCTCCTTCATCTTGACATCACGGATGCCATGTCCTTGTCCGAAACCTTGGGGATCTTGAGGCGAACGTTGTTGAAGAGATGGATGTACTTCTGCAAGGTTTCCCTTGGCTGCTGCTTGATGTGTCGTAGGTCACCCGCGGCAGGCGGGCGGTCGCGGGTGCCCTGAAAGTTGGCGACGAAACGCTCGCGCATCTCGCCCCAGGAGGAGATCAATCCCACGGGCGGGTTCAGGAGCCACGAGCGTGCGCCATCCTTGAGAGCCATGGGAAACCAGTTCGCCATGACCTTCTCGTTGTCGTTGGCCGCCTCGATGCTCAGCTCGTAGAGCTGCAGGAACTCCGCAGGGTCAGGGGTGCCATCGTAGCGCGGAGGCAGGTCGCAGTGGTCACGGGAGCCTGTCATGGAGGTGGAGCCTGGTCTTGGCGTTCATGCGCCGCCACTGCAGGCGGCGTGCGGTCTTGACGCAGTGGTGTAGGGAGCGCTGGATCACCTTCTTGCGGCCGCTGGACCTCTTGGCAGCTTTCTTCTTCGCGCGCGGGCGCCCTATGCTGTGGGTCATGCTGTGGGGATGCGCGTCTTGGACCGAGGATGACGTCCTAACGGGGAGGTGGCAGAGGTGCTCCATGGGCTACGTCGCCCATAGTGGGCGGCGGGCGAGGCAGCGAGAGAGATGGTGCAGGCGAGCCCCAACCACGCTGACAAGCTCGGCGATGCGGTCCAGTCAGTCCTCGTAGAAGTCGTCGGTGGGGCGGTAGTGCAGGAGCTCGCGTGCCATGAGCAGCGCAGCCTGTGTGTCCGCCGGCCACGACAAGCGTGAGACGACGAGCCAGCCGGAGTCAGCGACGGGGTGGCGGTGCGTCCGTCTCGCCACACAGAGGGGTGCAGCGACGAAGCTTATTGCTCGTGCCCCACCGGGCCGGTGGCGGCGTTGGCGGCAGGTGATGGAGAACGACGGGGAGGCCCGCCGACGGGCGCCGTCTGGGCGACGCGAGCGGCGAGAGCGGCTCGACGCTCAGCACGGGCTCGACGAGCATCAGCCATGGAGGCGGTGGAGCGGCGGCGGGTCGACCGACGGAAGAGAGGCTCCGACGCACCCCTACCTGTTGCGCCAAATGTCGGATTTGGGGTTCCGCGGACCCTTGAGAGGTTCGAACTCTGGGGTGCATGCGAAGAACTCTTCTTTCCCAGTCTGCCTGCTTAACAATTTCACGGCCTAGCTCGACGAACCCAAGGGATAAGAGACACAGTAGTTTATCCTGGTCCCTCGCGGTGTAGTACCCTACTCTAGCTTTGTGGTGGATTGCCTCGAGGGGCTGAGGATGAACTAGTATAGTGGTTGAACTGCCTCGGGAGGTGAGGTGTTCATGAGCTCGATGAGCTGGTGAGATGGTCCAGGTGGAATGAATCCCTCAGGGCGGAATTGGTCGCCCTCTATGGTGGTGGCTAAGTCCTGTTTATAGTGGCCTTGGTCCTCTTCCCAAATGTAGGCGGTAAGGAATCCCATAATGGCCAAATTTGAAGGGAGACAACTAGTACAAGCTATCCTGATAAAAGTAGTCTTCGCCTGCAAAAGGCTTTGGTGGTGACGCTGCGGTGGGCTCTGCGATGACCTCCGTCATGCCGTCCTGGCGGTCTTGGTCTTGTTGCACCGATATGAAAACCTTTGCTTGATTCCTCGGGACTCCGCGCCTGCGCTTGTATCCTTAGCACCAAAGAGGAAACTGATACACTGCACCCGCTGGCACCCGCCTGACCTTGGTCGTCATGGCTCACGTCATATGAACCTCGTGAGGTATACCCTGCATAGATATCTCCACTCCTTGGGAGCCAGCCTGGTGAGGCCGCCCCCCAGGGAGGTCTTGGTGTCGTCCGCCTCACGAGGGTCTTGGGTTGTTGTTGCTGAAGCTGGGCCGTACCAGGCCATTGACGAAGCCACGCCGTGGGCCGCAGGCAGTCAAGTCTGGATACCCCCATTCCCAGGACACAGACATTGACCTTAGTAGTTAGTCGGAAGGTTTAGTTTCCTAGTTGAGTCGGTACACAAAAAGAGAACGCGAAAAAGCTAGCTTGCCGTCGGCAAGGTGGGAATTCAACGGCAGTAGAGCGACAAGGAGGAAGACATCAAAACTCGCCCTCTTGGCGTTCTCGCGTCGAAAAGAAAAGGAAAGGCGAAGGAAAACTAGAAGAGATAAAAAAATGGGACCTAAATCGAGTAAAATGAAGGGATTTCTATTGAATAAGGTAAAACCTGAAACTTAAGGGGGTATAGCCTCCATACACTAACCTTCACATGCAAGCCGACGGACGCATGAGAGGCATGAGAGATCGATTTCGAAGACAGACATGCTCGGCTGCTTGCTACCAAAGGCAAACAAATCCATCTGGAGGGTCGTGTGCCTGCTAGTTGCGCGGAGAATTTCTGGTGCTCCCACACTTTCTGTGATACCATGATATGAGAGCTTCTGGTCCGTCAGATCAAAGATCCAACGGTTAGTGTTCCCGTCTTCGGACCTGCGCAAAATTAAGAGATAAATCGTGGGTGTTTCTGCAAGTTTGCACAAGCTTTTCCTGTGACCACTAGATCTTTGATCGGACGGACCACGAGCTCCCGTATCATGGTATCACAGTCACAGAAGGTGTGGTAGCGCCTGAAATTCTCCCGCTAGTCGCCTGGTGCTTCTGGAAGGAGCGCAATGCAAAGATTTTTAACGTTGCAGTAAGCTCTACAACCCAGGTCCATAACAGGATACTTGACGAGGCACAGTGCTGGCTATATGCCGGGCTTAAGCCGATGTCAAAGTTTTTTGATCCGCCTTGATTGGCCTCTAGCCGGTTTGTATAGATTGGCTGCCGGTGCCCCAATTGTAATAGCTAAGCTACTATTTCCTCTTCATCAATGAGACTCAGCGACCGCTGCTTTTTCGTCAAAAAAAACTTAGGGGGTGTAAACAGTGTACATGTATAGCTACTCTAATTGAATATAGCCTCATGGTATAACTATTTGAATGGAAATGAGTAATCTTTTCATTAGGTAGAGACGGAGACGGGGATCGAGAGGTACATAAACGTATTCATGGGTGCTTGCCTGTCATGGGTGCGTTGAAGGCTCTGCATCTACGTACACGATGAGAGCGAAGCTCTGGCAATAGCTGTAGAATGGTTAAGAACATCAGTATACTTGACTTCATTGACTAATTAATTGCCTAGCAAAAGGACACCCGCAGTTGTTGTATTTTTCTGGCGGAGTTGAAAATTTGGGTATCATGGCGCTAAGAAGGTGAAATTCAGATAATACTGTTCTGAATAGTCATAGTTGTCTTTTTTATGAGAGAGTTGATAATATGAATATGTGATGTGTGCTAATGTCTGCACCCACGAGAGCGGATATTCCTTACCCTGAGGACAATAAACCAGAGAGAGGTAGCAGCCTTACAGTTGTTGCTAGTTGCTTGAACACAAGGATGTCCTCACCACGAGAGCCTTTTGCCGCTCTTGATAATCTTGTTAACCACGATCAATTGACTTTCAGTCTGAATTGTTTCTTTTGTTTACAGCTGGTTGGGCGGTGTACATGTAGACAACGAGCTGGCCAAATATATAAGCTGACGAATTTCCAAAATTAGTTGCTGAGTCATTCCGTTGTGACCTGCAATATTGTATCCAGTGACTCAAAATTAGACACTAGTGTTGCAATCAGGACGTCATACATAAAATTTAGTTTGGTTACATGACAAGTGGTTATATAGATTAAGATGCAAATATTAAAGGAGTAGCGTCCTCCTGCACATATTACGAACACATAGCTACTCTAAGCAAACAACAATGAAAACAATGACAGAACGGAGATGATATGGTCAAAATATCTTTCATTACAAGTATCGCAATGTGTTTGGTCTAACCACTATCTGAATGTAAGGTCGGAGATGGAGAACGAAGAGGTGCATAAATGTAATCTGGTTTCCTCACGGGGAAGTGGAGTGCTAATAATATTGAGAAGATGGCTGTCATGGGATGGTGTGTTGAAGTTTCTGCGTCTACACGACGAGAGCGAAGCTCTGGCAATAGCTGTGGAATGGTTAAGAATAGCAGCATGCCTAACTTGATTAACTAATTAATTGCCCAGCAGAGTTTGTTAAGGTGGTGAGGTCGGCTAGGAGGCTTTGCCTCCATGATGGAAGCAACTTGTCTAAAGCTAGAAAAAACAAGACACGCCACAGCATCAGCATGCTCTTGTACTTAAACGGCGGCAGTGCCTGGCTTCCATGCGTGCCAAGTAATTACTCTTCAACAATGTCAACGGCCGCATTCTTATTGCCGGCGTTGCTCCTACTGCCGTCGTTGTTGGCAGCCACCGCAACCGCGGAGGGCCGCACCATCACCGTGTCACCGACATGTCAGGGTAGCTGTGGCGGCGTTGACATCCCTTACCCCTTCGGCATCGGCGCCGGCTGCTTCCGCAAGGGCTTCGAGATCAACTGCACAGACGCCGGCGTGCCGCTCCTCACCAACACGTCCATCCAGGTGGTCAACCTCTCCGTCGATCCACCCGAGTCACGGGTGCTGCTTCCCATTAGGTGGCAGTGCTATCAAGTGAACGACTCCGACGTTAATAAAGTGGTACGCAATATGAATGACACGAGCTTCTTCAACCCCGAGAAGAACGTACCTATAGACGGCGTATACCGCATCTCCAACAAGCACAACGTGCTCTTCGTCCTCGGCTGCGCCACCATCGGCATCGTGATGACCTTCAAGGGCCAAACACTGGCCTACTCCTCCGGGTGCATGTCCTTCTGCCGCAGTGCCACTGCAGCACAGGACGGCCAGTGCGCCGGCGCCGGATGCTGCAAGGTAGCCATCCAGCCGGAGGTCACGAGCGTCGTGTTCGAGTTCCCCAACATCAGGAAAGAGATGCCACAAATGCTCAACTACAGCCCATGCGACTATGCCTTCATCGTCGACGAGGACAACTACACCTTCCAGAGCTCCGACCTGCGGCACATGGACAGAACCCGGACCATGCCGGCGCGCCTTGACTGGGCTATCCGCGAAATGCCGTCCTGCGCCGACGCCAAGGACGCGGCAGATCAGTACGCTTGCAAGAGCAATCACAGCGAGTGCGTTAACTCCACCAATGGGACTGGCTATGCCTGCAAGTGCTCCCAAGGCTACGAGGGCAACCCATACCTTGTCGGAGAAAGCGGATGCGCCGGTAAGCACCACTCTGCATCTCTCCTTTTTTACACTCCTCCACCCTCTCCTTACTGCTCTGCCATCACCGGCACCTATGCTTAGCCACCCACCGCTACCCCAAGTGTAAACCGCAAGCTTGTCTCCCAGTCCACCACCGCCGGATTGGTCGCTGCATACCGTGCCCTGGCTCGACCCAGCCAGCCGGCCCTTTCGGCCACTTCATTTTAGAGCACATGCATGTGGATCAGGCTTTCCACTGTGGGCATCTTGAAGAACCGCAACGCCAAGGTCTTCCTCTCGCAACATCTTCAACCAGAGGCCGAATTTCGTGTTTTGACCCTTTTGGCATACAAATTCAGGATCTGACCCCGGTTGAAAAAAAAATCAGGATTTGACCCTTTCACTACCGCCAGGGGTACTGGCGGTAGGGTTAGACAGCCTACCACCAGGGTATCTGGCGGTAGGGTGCGACAGAGAGGGACGGCGGCCGTTTGCCCGAGCTGACGTGGATAAGTACCCTACCGCTAGGTACACTGACGGTAGGGTGCGGCTGGGTTTTGCCTCCCAAACTTTCCGTGACGAAATATCAAAGTGCCCTGGCGATAGGTTGGCGGTAGCATGAGACACCCTACCGCCAGCGTCCGTGGCTGTAAGGTCCTGTGTTTTATTTTCCCAAGTTCAGTTGCTTGCTTCTTTTCAAATTCAATATGACAGGAAAATCACAGATAGATAAGCACAGCAGCAAAAAGTGTTTGCATATGAAATTATGATAACCTCACACTTACAGATAGTAAAATTGATGTATCCATTAAGTTCAACATATCAAAATAGGTTCAACTACTAACATAGGTAGCAATAACAGGACACCAAGTAGTTCAACATAAGACAACTACTTTAACTTAGCAAGTTCAACATCACTAGTTCCTCCCCCTCCCCCTCTTGGCGGCATGCTCCTCCTTGTTTGTCTTCGAGCGGCCCTCGTCCGGCTGGGTTGGCTGAGTCAGTTGAGGTCCATCATCGTCGTCGTACTCCTCCTCATCACCTTCTTCGTCGTCACCTCCTTCCTCTTCTCCCTCTTCTTCCTCTTCCTCCTCGTCCACTTCCTCTTCTTCCTCGGTCTCGTTAACAAGGCGAGACGACGAGGCGGCATGGCTCGAGGAACCTCCTCCGGTGTGGCTTGATGAAGCTAGGGCACGTGTCGACCCACCAGGAGGAGGAACATGCACGTCAACCAAGGCGGCGCACCCAAGCATGCCTGCTAGCTTGCGGCAACGGTTAATGATCTTCTGCAATAACAAATATAGTAGAGTATGACTTGGATCAGGTTTAGGGCTGCAAATAAGTAAGAACATGTGGCATGGATCAAATTTGCGTTCGCTCCAATAGAATGCTATGAGGCTTAAAGTTACCTTCGTCGCTTCCCTCAGCTTGTTGTCACCCTCCATGGTTCCAGGGTCAGAACTAAGCGCATTCGAGCCGTCGAAAATGTTCATGTTTAGCTCTGCGGCCTGGAAATCCAAGGATCATTAAAAAGTTAGCGAGAATGACCATGTCATCATCATTAGCTCGAATGCATTTCAACAAAACTTACCACTCTGTTCATAAGGGGCGCATACTCCCTGAAATCACCTTGCATATCTCTGAGGTTTCTTCATCCTCAGAGTCCTCCTCCTCCTGAAGTGATGCCATGTCCACTTCCGTCCATCGTGGCCTCAGATGCAGACGAAACTTGATGCCATCGTCATACCAATTCATGTGCCTCTCATACACATTCCAGCAAATGCCTGACCTCTCCCCATCTTTGCGGAACGTCCTCTCGTCCCACATTGTCACAAAAGACTTGTGCTCGTCAGCCCAGTCCAATATCGACTGAGAATACTGATTGCTCTTCCTGCATAGGGGCATAACAAGCAAAAAAACACAAAAGACCATAAGAACATCGAACTTAAAGAAATCACGGTAAAGAGATGGCAGCACATACTTGTGAAGGTCGTAACCGCCGGTGTCGTGGGGCCTTGCTGGTGGTGTGTGTTGCAATACGCCAAATTGTGTCGCCACGCGTTGTGGTAGGTGCCATTCGACGGCGTACACGCATATCAGCGGGACAATGCACCAGAAGAGAAGGCGGTCCCGCTCGCACATCTCGTTCAGCTCGAACCCCCAAGCTCTATCGTGGTACAGCCACCAGTTAACCTATACAAATATTGTTTAGCAACCGTGAAAGTATAAACATTTAAAACTATCTTGCTCATTGGTATACCTGAAAAGATGTCAGGTTGTCCAGCTCATTGGTGAAGGCCTTGTACATCGCACTTTCCTTGCCCGAGAAGACCTTAACCTTGTCCCAAGAATAGGCGACAGTAGGGTATCGAGAACGGTCGCCATCCTCGCCATACTCCGTCCACTCTGTCTGTGGCAGCTTCTCAGGGCGACCAACCGGCAGCCGCTCCCAACTCCAAATCGAGAGGGCCCAGACACACCCACACATCCCAGATGTTTTCTCGGTCCTCTGTGTTGCGTCATCCAGCTGCAAACAACAAGTGATGATCAGATGACACAATTTAAAGCAATTTAAAGAACCACACACATAGGTGAGATGTATGACGTCTTACTGAACGGTAGAGGTACACGAGGCCAGCAGACCCCCAGCTGTACCCTGCATCCCAGTCGGCCAGGAAGTCCAAGTACATCCATAGGGCGTTGTCCCCCGAGCAGTCAGGAAAGACCACCTCTGTGAAAAGAAACCATAGGTAGGTCCTTGCATACTGCTCCACGGTCCTCGGATCCGCATCTTGCGGGCATTCAGCCCGGTGGTCTAGGAGCCATGCCAGTGCTACACCGGATGTTCGGTTACTCTTGATGGGAGGGCAGTCGCCGATGAGGGCGGTAACCCTGTCCGGCCAGTTCTTCTTATCCACGCACCCAATGAGAGCATGGCCCTTGATCGGTAGGGCCGTGATCATGGCAAAGTCCTCGAGCGTCACCGTCATCTCACCACATGGGAGATGGAAAGAGTGTGTCTCGGGCCGCCAACGGTCCACCAACGATGTGAGAGCCGTGTGGACAAGCATCGGCGGCATACGCTTGAACTGGAGCACGAAACCCAAGAGCCCGGCTCTCCTGTAATATGGCTTGTAGCGGTTGTCGTAGTTCATCTCTTTGACCTTGGTGTGGCCCCTCATACGTAAGGGCGGAAGCATTTGTCAATGTGCACACGAAAATAGTTAGAAAAAACTTTTGAAAAGGCAAAATTGTGATGCAACACGTTGATCAGTGCTATTTACCACTCCGCTCTCGATGTAACGGGCGCGATGACCGTTGTCGAATGCCGGGTCAAGCATAATGTAATTAGTGCAATCGCCGGACCAATGGGGGGCCTCCTGAAACACAAACACTTTGTTATGAACATATAATCATATCATATTAAACCGTTCAACTAACATCAATCATATCATATTCAACAAATGTAAAAAAATATTATGAATATGAACTGCGGTTCATCTTCAAACTAGTTATTCTATCCTTTTATGAATATGAACATTAACCAATCAATTTCAACAATTGTAAAAACATATATAAAAATTACCAACATATTCATCTTCAAACCACATCACCGCATCACCTCATCACCTCATCTTGTGCCAAATAGGTTCTATCCTCAAACTAGTTAACAAATCCAACATATTCAACCACATCACCACATCAACTCATCAATCAAATTCAAACATATTTAACCACATCAAACATCAATAAATAATTCAAAAAATATTAACATGAACTAGGGTTCATCAACTATATAAAATAGGCTCTATCATAGTCAACTACATCAAACATCATATTACTCCTAATTAAACGAACCTAAAAACAACAAAAATCAAAATCTACTAAATGAAATAGGGTTCATCTTGTGCCAAATAATGCGTCAAATCGAAAGCTTCTTAACTAAAACGAATTGGAGGGATTGAGAGAGCTTACTTTTCTCGTTTCGAAGCCATCTCGATCCGCAAAAACCGTTCACAAACGAAGAAGATCGGATGGGGGGAGTGGAGGGGATGAGAGAGGCCTTCCCCTCTCTGTTCTTGCGGGCGACGGCAGGGGAGAAGAAGATGGGGGCTGGGTTCGTGGATGGGCCCCACGAGCCGGCCCCTGCGGGCTTACGACCGTTCGGCACTTACCGCCACGGACATTGGCAGTAGGGTTGCACACCCTACCGCTGGGTGTCCTAGCGGTAGGGTCGACGGCATGAAACGGCAGCCGTTTGGTGAGGCTGACATGGATAAGTAGCCTACCGCCAGGGCCCCTGGCGGTAGGCTATGTAACCCAACCGCCAGAGCCTCTGGCGGTAAGAAAAAGGGTAAAATCCCGGAAAAAAAATCAAACAGGGGTCAAATCCCGAATTTGTATGCCAAAAGGGTCAAAACACGAAATTCGGCCTCAACCAGACACCTTTGCCCGGAAGTTCACTGCTGATGTCCTGCTCTGGCGCTACCTGCAC